TGAGTTGGCTGCTGGATGCGGTGGGTACCCCAGGGTGGGAGTGAGCAGGGACTCAGGCCTCTTCCCCAAGGGACTCCCCTCCTCAGTGGGGAACAGGATGTCGGCCTCCCATCCTCTTGCCAGCTCAGGACACAGGTTGGGAGGAGACTGGGGTCACCAGGGCCCCACCGGAGTGCACAGTGGGGAATGGTGCTCAGCGGAGGCTTCCTTCCTCGACCCAACTGAGACAGAGCACGTGCATGGCCACATACCTCCTGCCACATGCGGACCCACACGGGCACTCGCTGTGGGGCAAACACCTTGGGGTCTCTTTCCCCCTCCTGGGCCATGCCCCGGCACCAGAGGACCCTTCTCCCCCCCCCCACCCCCCGCCAACTCATGAAGCTGTCCGCATGAGGCAGGACAGACCCTCATGGTTCTCCCCACTGTTTGGTGGCTTGGGGGTGGGGTGCGACAGGCGTGGGGAGAAGGGGCCCCCGCAGCTGGCCAGGCATTTTCCCAGCCCCTTCTGGTTGCAGTGAGCCCCCGCCCTGCAGGTCCCCCCTCCACCTCGGCTCTGGAGTCTGTGGGAACCAGACGTTTCAGGCTGTCCAGCCGGGCTCGCTTCCTCCCGGGCCCCAGGGGACCTGCTGAGGGAGGGGGGAGCCACTTGGGCTGAAGTCAGCATGGCCAGCTGCCCAAGGGAGGGCTCTGGAGAAGACCGGGCCACCTCCCCAGTGAAAGGATCTCCAGGACCCTGGATGTCACCTCGTGGGACGGAAGACCCTCAGGGCCCCACGCCAACACCAAGGTGCCCCAACATCCTCACTCCTTCTCCTCTCCCTGTACCCATGATCTGGAGGGGAGGACCAGGCTCTGGGAGGGCACCGTCTCCCTGCTCCTTCAGGACAGACGCGACAGTGAGGTTCCCCTGTCTCTTCCTCTGATGGGTGCCACCAGTGTCTTCATGTCTCCTGTTCCCATGGGAGGGGGACACTGGGAAGGGCCAAGCTCTACTTCTGATCAGTACCCAGGTCAGCCAGGAAGGCTGCCCCAGCCCCAGGGAAATGCTTTCATAAAGAGCCACCAGGAAACCCAGGAGAGGTCCCCATTTGTGTGGGAAATCCACAAAAGGGGGTCCGTACTGCTTTCAAGCCCAGGGGTCCCTGTCTGGACTAGGGACAAGGGGCACCTTGTTAGCCCTGACAATCCAGGGTCTCAAAGAAGCCCTTCCTCCTCAGAGGAGGAAGGAACCGGGGTTCTCCTCTCTGCATCTCCCTTAAACTGTGGGTCAAAGCCCACGGGCCTGGCTGAGATCTCCTCTCTGTCACTCATCTGCCATCTAGCTCCGGTGAGCCCCGAGGACCCCAGACCCTCTGAACCTCAGCTTCTGTTACTGGAATTGGGGCTCACATTCTGTGGCACCCTGGTGAGATGATGGATACAAGCCTGGGACAGAAGAAATGTCACAAAGGGTCCTAAGTATTATAGCTATGCTTAACGCTTAATGGAGGGCGGAGGGCATTGAGTCTCTCTCGGTTTCGGGCTGGAGACGGACCCCTAGGCCAGCCCCGCCTCACGCCCTGCCTGGTGTCTCTTGGTTGAGTCCCTCCTGTGCCTGCCCTCATTCTCTGCTCCTGGGAAACTCCCCAAGAAAGTCCCCAGCAGGAGAAAGCCTCAAGTGAGGCATTTCCATTAGGGGTCCCCAGCCCCTGTGGCACCACTCCACCGCCACACGTAGAACCCAGCATTCCGGCCCTCACCCCAACTACCCAGCAAGCTGCCCCTCTTCATCACACTGGTTTTATTGGGCCCAAGAGCCACAGAACAAATCCCAAGGACCCCGGCCCCCTCACCCCCAAGTTTCTCCAGGGGCCCCCAGGGCCCAGCTGAACGCCGCTGCTCCAGTCCTGGCTTCCCGTCCAGGTTGTGCTTGGCTGGCCGGGGCTTGGTCCTTTGAGAACTCTCCAGGTCCTAGAGCCAGGCTCAGCCTGGCACTGGTTTGGCAGAGGCCCTACAGAGGTGAGGCTGCTGTCACTCAAAGAAGAACATTCCTGGTGTCCGGTATAGGCAGGGGGGCAGCCCCAGTGGGTAGCTGGAGCCTCCCTGGACAGGGAAGCCTCCTGCGACCCAGGGTTCCTTGGGGTCAGCTGGCAGGGGCAGTGGAGCCCGGAGTGAGGCTGGCGGGGTGGGGGGTGCCGGGGAGGGCGCTGCAGAGGCCAGCAGGTGCTCCAGGCCCGGGTCGGCGCCCATGCAGAAATTGAGGGCTTGCAGTCGGCACTGGTAGCCGCTCCCGACGGCTGCCTCGGGGGTCAGGACGGGCGTGGGGGCTTTGCTAAAGCCCTCGGCCTCAGAGAAGTTGGCAGGAAAGCCAAACGCTGGGCACGGGGAGGGTGAAGTGACCACTGGGAGCTCCCCTGGGCCTGCAGGCTTGGGTGTGGACATCTCCTTGGGCTCCACGGGCAGCCGAGGCCTGGTGACATCAGTAGTTGCTGGGCACGTGCTGTCTGGCAAGGTCCCCACCAGACCCCCAAAGCTTAGGCCCTTGGGATCTGGCAGCTCTGGTGGGAATGGGCACTGCCTGCTGGTCGTGGTGTGGGTGACTCTGGGGTCCTGGCTGGTGGCCCTGACGGGTCCCCGGCGTGCCTTGACAGGGCTCCTGGTGCCCTCTGCACCTGCCCGACGGGTGAAGCGGCGGCGGCGACGGAGGAAGCTGCCGTGCTGGAACATGTCATGGCAGTCGGGGTCCAGGGTCCAGTAGCTGCCCTTGCCTGGCTTGCGGTCATCGCGGGGCACCTTGACAAAGCACTCGTTGAGAGACAGGTTGTGGCGGATGCTGTTCTGCCAGCCGGGCCGGTTGTGACGGTAGAAGGCAAAGCGGCCCATGATGTAGCGGTAGATGCCACTGAGCGTGGCCCTCTGCCCCGGTGAGCTCTGGATGGCCATGGCGATCAGGGCAATATAGCTGTAGGGGGGCTTGGTGGGCTCGGTGGCCGGGGCCAAGGGCCCAGGCGGTGGTGGTGGCGGCGGCTGCTGCATGCTGGCCAGGCTGGCCGGGTTGGTGGCTGCAGAGACCACAGAGGCCAGGCACGGCCTCCAGGGCTCGCGTCGGGAGCAGCCTGTGCGGGCTGGTTAAAAGGCCCACTGGCCCAGCCTCCCGGCCTGGGAAGGCAAAAAGGGGTGGGCCCAGCAGCCTACCGGGCCCTCCTCCCTCACCGCCCCCTGCAAGCCCCAGGAGGGGCCGGCAGGAGAGGCCTGTGAGCAGCTGCCAGGGGTGAGGAGGTGGGAGGGAAGGGACGGAGACCCTCAGCCCACATGTGCTGGGTGGTAGCAGCTAGGGAGGGACAGGATGTGAGATGGAGCGAGACAGAGAAAAAGAGAGAGTGGCAGAAACAGAGAAGCAGAGAGAGGGAGAGAGGGGGAGAGAGAAGCAGGCAGAGATGGAGGTACAGACAGACAAAATGCACAGACACACCTCCAGGGAGAGACCCGGGCTACACAGAGGCAAGTGGCCAACAGGGTGGGTTGGAATCAGCCAGACACCAAGAGAAACGAAGAGACCCTCAGAGACAGAGAGGAAGCAGGGACTACAGTGACAGGTAGAGATGCCAGGTGGGGTAGGGTGTGCGCTGCTAAGACCACCAGAGACAGGTAGAGTGTGACAGAGAGAAGCCACAGGTCCCCACCGCTGGTCCAGCTTCTCCTCTCCTCCTCTATCACCTCCTTCCCGCCACCCAGAGCCCCGGAGGCCACACATACCCTGTCCGCCAGCCCCGGGGGAGGGCGCCCAGCAGAGGCAGAGCCCAGTTCTGTGAGCCCTGGCGCCCTCTAGTGCCAGGTGTGGGGAGGACAGACACTTGAGCAGAGAGATCCTCCCAGGAGGCCTCAGGAAAATGCTGGTCAAACCTCAGTTTCTCCATCTCTAAAACGGAGCTGGCAACTTTTCAGCAATCCGGGCCACAGTGAGGGGTCATCAGGCTCTCTTACACAGAAGGCAGCACCAAGGCACCCCAGCTGCAGCCTCTAGCTGGGGTCCAGGAGGACAGACACCATTCAGGCCCAGAGGACAGCTCTTCTGAGGATGGGTCAGTATCCTCCCTCTTGCCCACTGCCAAGACAGTGGTCACCTACTCTGTGTCAGGCCAGCTCACTCCCCTCACTATGTTTACTCCTTGGACCAACTCAGATCTGGAGGTCTTCATAGCTTATTTTGAATAGAAGAGGGATCTAAGGCTCAGAGAAGTTAAGTGACTTTTCTGAGGTTACGCAGTTAGTGAATGATAATACTAGGATTTGAATTCAGGATTCTTTAACTCCTTAACACTACCCCTTCTGAGAGGGCTGCCTCTCCTGAGATTAGGGGACAGTCACAGGAATATAGGCTGTGAACCCCAAGACAGTAGGGATTGTGCTATTTTTGCTCTATCCCTAGTATTCAGCACTGGACACTGGAAAGAGGCCTGGAACAGAATAGGTGTTCAAAAAAATGTCTATTGAGGGGCTGTAGCTCAGTGGTATGTGCTTGCCTAGCATGCGTGAGGCACTGGGTTTGATTCTCAGCACCACATATAATCAACAACTAAAAAAAAGACAGAGAAAACTAAAAAGAAAAGAAAAAAAAAAGAAAAAGTCTGTTTAGTGACTGAAAAACCAGCAACAATTGACTTTTTTTTTTTTTAATACCAGGGATTGAACCCAGGGGTATTTAACCACTGAACCACATTCCCAGCTGTTTTAATATTTTATTTTGAGACAGGGTCTCACTGAGTTGCTTAGGGCCTTGCTAAATTGTTGAAGCTGACCTTGAACTCATGATCCTTCTGCCTCAGCCTCCCAAGCTGCTGAGATTATAGGCATGCACCACTGTGCCAGCTATTAATTGACTTTTGTCCTTGTTAAATCTTACAGTTTTATTCCCATGAAAGTAACTTACTGGCTGGGGGTTTAGCTCTGATATGGTCCATTCTTAGCATGTATGAGGCTCTGGGCAAAATCCGAAGCAACACACACACAGGCACTTATTAATGCATCACTAAAAGATTTATTATGTTGGCATCTGTAAGAGGATTCCTATAAATAAAGTCAGAAATCAGAAAAGGAAGAAAAATGTTGCTTTACCCATGAGGCGGGGGGATTTAACATCGAGGTTAAGTCTTCCAGTTGGGAATCCTCCCAGTCCTCTCCACGACTCACAGTTTGTGAAGATGAGTGGGGCTGGGGGAGGGACTGGATTGCCACTGTGGCCTCTGCCTTAGGGTTATGTTTGGGATCCTGCCTCACTCTCTAAAGACTGTGCTGGTGGTTCAGTGGTTAGCATCTGAAACCCAGGGTTCAAATCCTCTGTTTCGGGATTCCCCCTCATTGTCCCTCAGATAAAGGAATGAGACTAGCAGCAGTTGGGAGGAAGGATCTGGAAGCCCAGAGTCCCTCAGAGGCCAAGCAACTGCTACTGGTTGTTCCCACTCTGAACCACCCTGAGGTCAACTAGGCTTTAAGCAAATGAACCCAATGGCACCATAAGACTAGCTCTAAGCAGCTGTTGACATGTTGGACTTTCAACAGGCGATTTAGTCCTATTTCTAACCCCATTACTGTTTTTCCTGGGGCCTCAAGGTCGAATTCTATTTCCCGCTGATGCTCCGCGCCCAGCAGCCGGGCCTCCGCCCCGCTGGGCGTTCCAGGATCCATTCCCTTCAGGGAGAGTTAAGGTCACCATCGCCTAAGCTGTCCGCTATCAGGGCAATAGGTGGGGGAGGCCCCAAGTCCACTGGTTCAGTGAGGGCAGGGTTGGGGTGTCTCACCCCGTGGTGGGGCTTCCTTTAGTGTGTGGGAGAGGGGGAAGCATCCCGATTAGGGTTGACTGTCAAAGGCCATCCGGGATGCCCTGCTGGGGTCCCCGCGGGGTGCCAGGGTTAAGGCGCCTGGCATGCAGGAGCAGATCACGGGCAAAGAACGGCTCCACCTGTGGGGACGGACCGGAGGCAGTCAACTCTCTGTTTCCATGGGAAGTCACAGCCCTAGTGACAGCCTTGTCCCCACACCCATTTATATATATATATCAGAGGGCCATACAGGTCTGGGTGGGGTGGGGCTGGGTATGGAGAGGGACAGGAGGGCCTGGAGGGTGTGGTTCTTCCCTGGGATGGAGGGAGTGACTCACGTGAGCCATGACAAGCCTCTCCTCCGGCTGGTCTGGGGGACCCGGATACTCCTCGCCAAAGCACAGGCGGATCTGGTATTCCGGCTCGGGACGTCCATCCTGCAGGTGGGCGTGCAGCTCTGCAAGCACCAGGACTGTGGGGCTGGGACTGTGGCTGGCCGAGCAGGCGTCCCACCCGGTGCCCACCTTGTGCTTGTATCCTGAGCCCAGGTTCTGTAAGCTCACATCCCCATTGGGTGCCCATGTCCTAGGCCAGCTTTTTTGTGCCTGTGCTATGTCCCACATCTGCACCCACTTTCTGCGTTCATGTCCCTTCCCTGGTGTCCCTATGCCCACTCTCAGGTCTTTAGGCCTACTCCATGCTTATTGTTATTCACCTATGTCTGCCCAGTGCTCTGATGCCCACCCCATGCCCCGCGCTCTTATGCCAATAAACGTACCTGAGTCCTAGGCTTATGTCACAGATCTAAGGGCCTCAGTATGCCGGCGCCTACGCCCCTTATAGACCTAGATAGGGATCTGTGGCCAGCCCTCTTGATGTCCATGTTCTTTCCCATCCCTGGCGCTTCTGAGCTGTGTGACCTTTGTTTCGATGCTCACCCCAAGCCCAGGACGCTTGGGCCCAGATCCGGCATCCTCCTCTCGGATGCCCACTCTCCTTTGGCTACCGCGTGACCACGCCCCCGGCCCAGCCCTCTGTCCCGCGTCCAGGGCGGAGCTACAGCGCGCTTACCTTCGAGGAAGCGGCGCGTGTCGAGCAGCTGGCAGGTGTGCTCGCGCTCCAGCTTGTTGGGCTGCGCGCGGTGCGGGGCTAGCTGGCCGCGCCAGTACACGCGGCCCTGGCACAGACGCTTGGCGAACACGCCCTCGGGCGCCACCCACAGCAGCACGCCGCGCTCGAGGTGCGGCAGCAGGCGCCGCAGCACGCGGGCGCCCGGCGGCGGCTCGGGGAAGTGAACCTGCGCCAAGCGTGCGGGCGGCCCCAGCAGGCGCTGGGCGGCGGCGGAGGCGGCTGTCCCGGGGCTCAGATGGCAGCCCTCCGCGGTGCGCGCGGTGGCTTCGCGCACCAGCGCCGGACCATAGAAAAGACGCACGTGCAGCCAGTAATCTGCGGGCACCAGGGAGAGGGCGCGGGCGGAGCGTTGGCAGGCCACCTCTTCCCCTGCCACCAGCCTACACAGCCGGGCGGCGCACCGGGAGGTCCTTCTGGCTCCCACTTCGGGAATTTGTCACTCCCTCCCAATCAGTCACAATAATATTCTAGCAGTGGTGATAGTAAAATGATAGCTTCCAGTGGAGACGAACCGGTAGTCGAGCTCTGTGGTTAAAGCACAGGGTCTGGGACCGCCTGTACAGGAGGGTATGGCCTTGAGGCTCTCCTAGCCCAGATCTCGGGATTCTAGGATCTCCCAGCAAAGATTTAATACTGGTTGAAATAATAACAGCAACGGCAATAACACAGCGGTAGGAGGAGCAGCAGTACAGTTCAATATGAGTTCGGGCTGCGGGCTCTGCAGCCCTTGGATTCGATTCTCCCACTGCCCCTTAGGAGCTGTGACCTTTTAGTAACTAGCTGTGTGACCTTGAGCAAGGTCGAGCGTCTGCATATGTAAAATGGGGACAATGGCAGCCTCTATATTGCAGGTCTATAGGGAGAACTTAGAAAGACGCCTGACACAAACTTAAGTCCTTGAATGCTAGGCATTGTGGCTGTTTGGGGAGTCCCGGTGGGGGAGGAGACACAGCTAGCTGGCCCTATCCCCAGACCTCCCCAGTTCTGCACACTGGTCAGAGGAGAGGATATTTATTTATTTATTTTAGGAGAGGGCCTTTAGATTCCTTACCAGGGCTGTTGAAGTCTTCACAGGGCACTGGGCTCCAGGGGTGTCCAAGGTCCTGTGCCTGGTACCCTGGGGAAGGAGGGGAGCAGTCAGACACAACCTCACCCTGACTTCCTGGACCTGGAGATCCAGGGGGAGGCCAGGGAGGAAGCTGGGGCAGGTGAGGAGACCCAGTCCTTACTGTGGTCAGCCAAAGGGTCTGGGAGGAGGGC